CCCTGCTAGCCCAGCCCTGCACCGCCCAGCTCTGCCTGTGCCCCTCACTCCTCACCCGCAGCCCCTGCTAGCCCAGCCCTGCACCGCCCAGCTCTGCCTGTGCCCCTCACTCCTGACCCACAGCCCCCTGCCCGTCCAGCCCCGTAATCCCCCAGCTCTGCCGGTGGCAGTGCCCCTCACTCCCGACCTGCAGCCCCCTAAGTGTGTGCGTGTGTGTGTCTCTCTCTCTCTCTTTCCCCTCCCATCCCTTCCTCAGCTTTACCCCTCTCACAGCCACTCCCTGTCTACCTTCTCCCCCAGCCCTGACCCTTCTCCCTCCCCCTTCTTCCCCCTCCCCCACATCCTTCCCCACCCCTTTTCTCTCACCCCACAACTCACCTGCTGTTGCGGCTGGAGCGGCCCCCCAGGGCAGAAACCCCCCTCGGCCGCCCCCCCCAGCAGGGCCTCCACCACCTCTTCTGGGCTGAGCCCCAGGCCCTCCCCACCCCCCGCCATCTGCTGGTGCAGCGCGGCCAGCCAGTACAGCTCCTCCAGCCCCGCTTTGGGGTCCCCTCCATCCCCCAGCCCTGCTTCGCTCAGCGTGGGGGAGGGCGGCACTGAGCTGCAGGGGGAGGGGTCCAGGGAGGCCCCGCCCATTGGGCCGGCCGGCTCGCGCTTGACCTCAAACTTCCGCAGGTCAAAGTCGTTGAGATATTCCAGGGCCAGGGGGCTGGTGGGGAGCTCGGCCAGGGGCACCGACATCCTGAGTGGGGCAGCACCGTAGGGCATGGGACCTGGGGGAGAGAAGAGAGACAGGTGAGGGGACTGGGGCTGATTGGGCAGCAGACCCACTCCACTCTATATGGACCGGCAGTGTCTAAGGACTGCCTTTCTATGTGGACCAGTTATATAGACCAGCTTTGTCAATGGGCCAGCTACACAGACCAACTTTCTAAACAGAACAGCTATATGGACCAGTTGTGGTCTATGGACTGGCTTTCTTTGTAGACCACATTTGTCTGTGGACCAGTTCTACAGACTAGCTTTCTGGTTTTATAAACCAGGTATATGGATCAGCTGTGTATATAGACTGGTATAAAGACCAGCTTTCTATATAGGCCAGGTATAGGTACCAGCTAAGTCCATAGACTGGCTATATGGACCAATTCTGTATATTGACCAGCTACATAGACAGCCAAGGAACCACCCAGGTTTCAGGGCAAAGGGATGTCTCCAATATAGGGTCCTTGCTCTATACAGACCTGTCTCCTATAGAGCAATGGCAGTATATGGACCAGCACTGTATATGGACTGGATTGATGTATGGTCCAATTCGGCTGGTTTCACACAGGCTTTGCATTATGGGGTCCCCTGCTATGGGCTGCCTCTGTCTCACAGACCAATGGGTCTACATGGGCCATCTGTGTGCATATGGACCAGTTCTGTGTAAGGACCAGGCTATACAGTCCAAAGAGGGAGCTGAGCAAGACTGAAGCAGCACAGGCCCCCTCTGGCGACAAACGGCCTCCCTCAGAGCGTGGCGGCTGCGTATGGACCAGCCAGGGCCGGCTCCAGCATTTCTGCCGCCCCAAGCAAAAAAAAAAAAAAGCCGCGATCGGCAGCGGCAGTTCAGTGGCAGGTCCTTCCCTCCTAGAGGGAGTGAGGGACCTGCCGCCCCCGAATTGCCGCAGGTGCCGTCCCTCTCCCTTGGCCGCCCCAAGCACCTGCTTGTTAAGCTGGTGCCGGCCCTGGGACCAGCCCAGGTACCATCCCCCTCCCCCAATTTCTCCCTCTCACACACATTCCCGTCCCCTTCCTCTGCCCCTTCACACTCACCCCCCTGCTCCCAGCGGTCTGTACATCTCCTTGTCCCCCCACCCCACCATCCCCCCACACCTCCTCCATATCCCCACATCCCATCCGTCCCCCTCACATCCCATCCATCCATCGCTCCCACCTCTGTCCCCAT